GGTTAAAAACTTCTCTTGTGGGGCGCCTGGGTGGCTCAGTCGGCTTCGCGGCCAACTTGGCTCAGGTCATTATTTTGTGGTTCGTGGGTTTGAGCCCCGTTTCGAGCTCTGTGCTGACAGCTCAGAGCTTGGAGCCTGCTTCGGATTCTGTGTCTTCCTCTCTCTCTGACCCTCCCTTGCTCACACTCTGTGTCTCTCTCTCTTTCAAAAATAAATACACATTAAAAAAAAATTTAAAGCGGGGTGCCTGGGTGGCTCAGTCGGTTAAGCATCTGACTTCGGCTCAGGTCATGGGTTCGAGCCCCGTGTCGGGCTCTGTGCTGACAGCTAACTCAGAGCGTGGAGCCTGCTTTGGATTCTGTATCTCCCTCTCTCTCTGAACCTCCCCTGCCCCTGCTCACATGCTCTCTCTCTCTCTCAGACATAAATAAAACATTAAAAATTTTTTAAAAAAAATTTAAAGCAAAAAACAACAAAAATCTTCCCTTGTGACTTTTGTGGTCACATCTTATTTTTATTACACCTGTCTCAGATAGCGGTATTACTGTATTATCCACCATACCTAAATAACCTTTATTTTCTAGATGGAAACATCATTTTCTCAGAAGGGGATACGTGGCTTAATAGGAAACGATCGTTGGCCATACCAATTCTTACCATTGAATATGCGCCTAATCTCCATTAAACTTTTAAAGATAGTGAAACAAATAAATGCTTTTGCAGAGGTCATTATTTCCCTTGAGGAATGCAGATCAACTGTAATTATATATGACATTCTGAAATAATGCAGGGTTGCTTCAACTAATCACTTCTGCAAATATTTCAGATGCATCAGCTATACCAACATATTTCATTTGAGCATGTTCATCAAAAACCAGTTTTTCTAATTTCTAGACATAAGATTTTCATTACAATTAGTCATCATTGGAAACAATATACTTTAGCATAAAAAAAAGAAATAAGGCCACATACAATTAGAGGTATATATTTATACTCAACTGATACTCATGATATGGTTTAAGAATACAAAAAACAGTGGTGTCTGGATGGGATGAGCTGGTTAAGCATCTGACTCTTGGTTTTGACTCAGGTCATGATCTTGCAGTTCGTGAGTTGAAGCCCTGCATCAGGCTCTGTGCTGACAGTGTGGAGCCTGCTTGGGATTCTGTCTCCCTCTCTCTTGCCCCTCCCCTGCTCTCTCTCTCTTTCTCTCAAAAATAAACATGAAAAAAAATCATTTTAAGGATAAAAACACAAAACAAAACAAAACAAAAAATAATATGTAACTGAGATATTAGTAGGCAAAATATTTTCATTCAGGGAAAGCATGTTTTTAATATTATTACTTGGAAAATTACTGCTATATTTTGTATATTCTATAATAGTTAACATTTCTCTAATAGGGAAAATTTCAAGTTATCCAAAATACTTCATATTTTTATTCATCAAAACTGAAATCCAGAAATAATCTTGTTGCTTCTGGACATGTAGGAAGTTTGTAGAGGTTACAGGATCTGGAATGGTTTAGGTACAGAAAGTCAGGAATCCATAGTGAACAGTCACCCAGCATGCACAGTTCATCTATGGTAAGACGACTAGACTGTATTTAGTTGTGTTTAATTTCATTATGCCCTTTAGTGAGTTATTTCAAAACTAAAATGATCTAATAATCCTTCTTCCATAGTTGTAGAAATGTTTGTAGTATTTCCGTTTATAAAAACTTTGGCTCTGATAATCTATAGATAAATTATAAATCGTCTGTCCCATTCCTCTGCTGAATTTGTAACCCAATTTTGTCATTTCTCTACATTGCATTATAAATAAGTTAGAAAACACACATCTGCTCAAACTGACGTCTCCATTTTAATTGGCTCCACTGTCCAGAGCAGCTGTGGCCGCAGCTCCAGGAAGGTTCAAGTTCACTTTCGCTCATGGCCTTAACTCACATGGGCTTTCTGCAGATGCAGTCACCAGAAACCCCAAGTTACTCAAAAGGTTAAGTGACAGCTGAGAGACTTATGGTAAGAAAAAAAAAATACGTTTACTACTTTTCAGTGTTTAATAGCATGAAAACACGGCGATACATCTCATACTGCTGTTTGAGAATCACGAAGATCACTCACAAGAAGGCACGTGAACTTGTTTTTTATGTTAAACAAGCCAGTTCGTGTAGAACTTTAACTTTATTTCAAAGGATGGTGTGAAGGCCCAGACTGTGTCCTCTAAAGATGTAGGTAGAAGCCCTCACTCTCCATGTGACTGTATTTGGAGATGGGGCCTTGCAGGTCAGTAAGGTTCAATGAGGTCATAAGTGTGCACCCCTGATTTGATAGGACATATATCCTTACAGGAAGAGGAAAAGCCACCAGAGCTCTCCCCACACACATGCACAGAGAAAAAGCCATGTAAAGACACAGGGAGAAGGTAGCATTCATAAGACAAAGAGACCTGACCACAGACCAAGCCTGCTGGCACCTTCCCTATGAACTTCCAAGCTCCAGAACTGTGAGAAATGAATGTCTGTCGTTTCAGTCCCTAATCAAGGGTCCTGTGTTATGGCAGGACTCCTGCAGATCGTTCTCTCATTACTCTGGAGAAGTTTATTCATGCTACGTACCAGCTAGTCCTATCACAGAAAGCCCTGGTTTTTAGAAATACAGGATTTAAACTCGGATCAAATAGTCTATGTTATAAAATAAAAATACATTTTCCTACTGTTCTATATGTGCCTTAGTGGCTTTTAAACTTTTTGACTGTGATCCATAATAACCTTAGTATGTGTATATGCATGTGTGTACATAATATATGGTGTTTGAGTAATATGTGTGTGTCTTTCACAAAACTTTTCCTTTCTAACTGAAGAAGATATTTCTGTTCAATTCTCGTTTATTTACAAAATAAATGCTTGTCGGAATCAGACCAACAAATACAGAGAAAAAAACCTGGTGGTTGCCAGAAGGAAGGAGGTGATGGGGATTGGCAAAATGGGTGAAGGGTACTGGGAGGTACAGGCTTCCAGTTATGGAATGAATAAGTCAAGGGGATGGAAGGTACAACATAGGGAATATAGTCAAAGATCTCGTAATAGCATTATATGGTGGCAGATGGTAGCCATACTTGTGGAGAAATGTTGAATCACTATGTTGTACACCTGAAACTAACGTAACATTGTGTGTCAACTACATGCAAATCTTAACAATTAATTAATTAATTAAAAAATACTTGTGTGTGTTTTAAAAATCCATTTAAAATCCAGTTTATGGTTAGATGTTTGAGAAGTTTTCTTTTTAGCTATGTTATCTAAAACATTTCCTAGTTTCAATTTCCTTTTTTCCCTTAGCATCGCAAGATCCTTAAAAGTACACCAAAGTTAAAACAATTACAATATTCTGTTCTTCACGTTCTTTCTTTCTATCTTGCACACATGTGCATGTGAACACACACACACACACACACACACACACACACACAATGAGTCTAAGATGGAGGTGAATCACCTAGAGTCCTGTTCTAAGCAGACCTTTTCACGTGATTTAAATCAGAATGTCAAGCATATTATCTTGATGATTTGTTTGTAATAAAATATTTGGTTTATGGTGCAACTAAGATATAAATTAATGCATATAAGACTATGTGAAATTTTCATTGAGAAATATGGTACCCATGAAGGGAAGTGCTAAATAACTTACAGTCTTTCTAATAGACTACAGACATCTAGAGTACTGATAAGAAATTATATGACTTGATGAGTTTCAATAAAGTGTTTGTTTTTAGAGGGAAACTAATTTTATCATTTCCTATCATATTCTATTTCTCTTGGGTTTATGTTTAAAGAATCATGCTTGCTGTCTCAAAGATTTTGATACTAAGTATCTCCTAGCATATGAACACTGGATAATGAAATGGAGGGATAATTAAAGGAAGACAATGGATATAATAGCTGAAGGTTTTACAGATTTGTTTTTCTCAAAAAAAAAGTGATAAAGTTGTCTAAAATCTACAAACTAAAAATATGGAAATCATAATAAAACACTACTCTGTCACTCAAGCTGATAGCACTTTTGGGCCTATAAACATGAAAACAAAATGTAATTTCCAAAGTATAAAATTTCAAGAACAAGGTTTAAATTGTAAGCTTTCCAAAATTTCATGAGTCAAAATATTTAATGTTCATTTCGGCATGCATAGTTGTACAAAATAGGTAAAAGGGTATTTTTTGAATACCTGAAATCTGTACACAGGGAAATTGGGCTTAATGAATACAGCTTTGGGTACATATGTGTGTGTATGTGTGTACTTGCACACATTTATAACAACATAGGAAGGAGAAAATAATTTAATATAGTTAAAAATGCAATATTATATGATACATTCACTTTTTCATGCTATTGACATCTTGACATAAACATTTTCTTTTTTTAAATTTTTTAAATGTTTATTTTATTTTTGAGAGACAGAGTGCAAGTCGGGGAGAGGCAGAGAGAGAGAGAAAGAGAGAGAGAGAGAGAGGGAAACAGAGAATGGAAGCAGGATCCAGGCTCTGAGCTGTCAGCACAGAGCCCAATATGGGGCTTGAACCCATGAACCATGAGATCATGACCTCAGCCAAAGTCAGATGCTTAACTGACTGAGCCACCCAGGTGCCCCTGGATGTAAACATTTTCTATTGTATTTCTCTTTATGAAATAACATTTACTTTGTGCCTTTAAGGAAAAAAAGACATAAAACAAAAGGGAAAAAGAAATAGTGAAGAAAATATTCTAAATTATACCTTTTTTCATTATAAATTAGCCTCAGCCCCTGATAGCATCTAGTACATAGAGGTATTTAGCAAGTATTGTTAACTGAATTATACTTTAACATACAGCAAATACACACTGAACGTAACTTAAAATTTTTAAATAACATTTATTTTAAACAATCAATGTCAAAAAAGATGAAACATAATTTGTGCTAAATTAGCTAAATAGGAGTGTTTTTGTACACTTATTAATTCTTACCTCTTCCTTTGTCTTTTTTGATATCACTCGGAGCCAGTCCCCAATCATGCTCAGGACAGCAGCAAAATAAGCAAGCCCTACAAGGATCCAGAACCACACGACAGGCTTATAGAAGTCTAGATATTCAATATCTGATCCACCTGTGTGAGAAAAATAAAGCAGGACCAAATAACTTTATATTCGTGAAAGAAAATAAAATGGATATTTGCTGAAAGTACCAACTGAATTTTGGCTTGCAAAACAGAAATCTTGTCATTGACCAATGTTATTTTCTTCATATGGAATTCTCTCCTATCCTTTTCTATTTGTCAAGAACCAGTCATAAGTTTTTTTTTTAAGTTTTTATTTTAATTCCAGTTAGTTAACGTCTAGTATTAATATTCAGTCATGAGGTTCTTCTTAATGAGACTGTTCCTTACATCTCTAGGTCATAATGATTTTTCTTTGTTCTAGGTTTCTTTTTTGTTTATTACAATCTGTCTCAGCTAGTCGAGGGCTTAATTATTCCATGTATACTGGTTTCTCTTTCCACGTCTACTGAACAAGTAGAAGACAGAAATGACACCTTTTGGGGTATGCATTTAACTGAGCATATTTACAATACGTCAAACAATACATACTAACCAATCAATACATGGTTACCAATCAATGCAAAGTCAACCTGGTCAGAAAGTGGCTCTTATTCTAAAATCAGCAATACAGTGTATTGATAACAAATGCATGAGACAATGGCTTGGTGGGTCCAATTGGAACAACTAGTAATTTGCAGATGATATTGACATTTGTTACTGACTTTTTAGAGGAATTCCCATGCATGTCACAAATGTAAATCCTTAGATGTCAAGACAAAGTTAGCTAAGGAGCTCTTCTGTTTTATTTTAATCTTTGTTGCTTCTCCATCCATTTGGCAAAAACTGCACCTATGAGAATCTGAATCCAGTTCAACACATCCCTACATCAGTACATATAAATGGGGCACTTATTTAATTCCCCAACACTGAAAACAGTTACTTCTCTTCACAAGAGAGAAGAACAAGTCTCTCTCTGGAGAAATTCATGATTTACTCTGGAAAGCCTCACATAGACAATTACCCATAATCCGGTAGATACAGGGATAGCAAAAAAGAATAACAGAGTGTTATGAGAGGACATGGAAGAAATGATTTTTACTTCTGGAAGGGGAAAGGCAAGAAGAGAAAACGGGAGTCTTCAGTAATGAAGATCAGAACAGAGAAAGTGCAGTGTATAAATACACGGCATATCCAAAGGACTTTTAGTAGCTAACTCTACATATGGATGGAGGCCAGGGAGTAGATGGGTAGAAGAGAGGAATCTAGAAAAAGTGAATTGTCTCAGATTGTAAAAACTTGTTCCTACCACAATGGGGCATAGGTAAAGTTTATAGGTGATATCTTACAGTCATGTTTGACCATATGCCCAGAAAGATCCAGCAGCAGAGAAGGAAGGTTGACAAGGGAAGTCTCATAGTAACTTTTGTTCTGTCTAGCCAAGAGGTTATTGTGCCTGAGTTAAGGCTGGAATGGAAAGAAAAGGTATTAGAGGCAGCATCATTAAGGAAGAGCTGTAGGCTGATCAGAGCCCCTGTTTTGGGAGATGAGGACAGTAACTGAACAGGAAACACAGGGGAAGGAACAGTGACTAAAAATAAAATGTAATTCAAATTGGTACATGATAGGTTTGAAGGGCTTGTGGTACCAAGAGGTGGAGGCACACAGTAGGATCCTTACATACAGATCAAACATTTAACAAGGCAGAGCGGGAGATAAGGATTGTGGTATCAATAGCACAGAGATCGGATGCTTAAAGGGGTCACAGATGTACTCAATGCACAGAAATTCAATCCATCCATTCAGAAGAACAGCTAATAAATAGCAAGTATGCATGAAAGTCAAATATAAAATCGAAAAGAAGCATTACTATATATACATATATATGTATATATATATCAGACTTTGCGTTGACATTGTCAAATATCAAAGGGTCAGAGTAAAAAGAGAATATTTTTCTATTGGGCAAGTAACATGAATAGACACCAGTTCAGCTTTCTTTTGGGACAAATAATAATTTTAAAAGCACAGTTTCCAAAGTAAATAATATCACGTTCAAAATATTGTAAAAATTTACCTTGTGTAAAATTTTCAAAAATACCATTTCTGGGAAAGATTGTGGCGGCCAAATGCATCTCGTGATGGTTAAGACTTGGCCCACGGGGGGAGCAGCTCTACAAATTCACAGAAGTGACTTAAGAAGTGTGTGTGGAAACTTGTTATATGATAGGCTCACTAGTGAATTCCATTTCTCAAATGTTTCCATTTCAATGAAACCAAAATGACATTTTTTTCCAAGCACTTTCTCTTTCAAAACCAGAAAATCTTCATCCAAATAGCTGTGACTCACTTAACACTTAAGTTCACCAAGATGTTGATTTTAAAAGTTAGTTCATACTCAAGATGACTTTTTATAAGTCTTCTTTCTTATAAACAGGATGTCACAGTTTGAAAAGAGTAAATTAGCTTAATCACTGAAAGGTCTATATTTGGGTAAAATGTTCATCCCACAAGTTTTAGTGGATTCTAAGCCTGAGGGTGGGGGGTGGGGAATGCTTCCCGTTCTCAACTGCTGCTCTTAGGATAAAATACCGGCAGGCAAATGATCTAAGGAAAGCTAACGTATACAGGAGTGTTGTCCGACAACTCACAAGTCCTATTCACTTCTGAAAGCTAGGATTTATGAATTAATTCCTATACTGTTTCATCCACTTGATCCAAGAATCCAAATTAAAATATCTGTAACGTCAAGATAGCTTGCTTAAAAGGGGCTGTTAGTCTTATTTTTAGTCTTATTGTTGATTAGGAGACATCAACAAAATATTTCTTTTGGCTGTTGGAAGCATTAATTTCCATCTAGCTACATTCAGGCAACCTGTACGTGGGTCTTTTGCTTATTAAGAACCTAAGGTAATGTCTCTGCCATGGACTCACAGCCTATGTCCCCCACCCCCTTCTCCACTCTGCTACTCTTATAATTTTTTTCCCCTCCTTTCGCAGACTCCTGAGCTTCTGCCTGTAGGATGCTACAAGGGCTCTCCCCTCCTGGGTTCCTCACCCACTTGGCAGGGACAGTCACCTCATTGCTCTTTTCTTTGTTGCCACTGAAAGTACGCACACAAGTCCTTTCCATTTTCAGATCTTCCTGGCTAATCATTATAGGAGAACAGACAGATGGTAATAAAAATAGTAAAGGGTGGTGGAGGTACCAAGGTTTCAGGGATCTTATAAACTATTCCAAGTAGTTAAAATAAGTCTTTTCCTGACTCTCATGATACGTGATGGTGCCTTTTTTTCTCTGACTTTCTCCTTAGTGCTTAAATAGGAGATCAGCCAAAATTGAATTTAGCAGATTAAAGTACTAAAAATATAGGTCAGGCAAGCTTTATTATTATTATTGTTATTATTAATTTATGGCATTATTGGAAGGAACCCATTTTCACAACAGTGAGTTTCCTAAACATTTTCTTGATTCAATCCCTCCATCCAGCATTAAAAAAGTCATCTCCTACTTGACCCCAAGAATTACTGGTTAAGGGGCAGAATAGCCCATGAGGCTATCGCAGGCACATACAGGTTTTGTTTCTGTTCTTTTTGTTGTTTTGTTTTTTAATAAAGGCCTTGATAGTTCTATATACAGCCTAGTCTATGCTCATTTCAGTTGATTTCCAAAATACTCAAAATCTGATTGGAAGAAGAGTGAAAAGTAAGACTTCCTGATCGCTCACCTAAATGCAATCATTCCATCCTAATGCCCTGGGGGGGCAGGTATTGAGGGAGTTATATTCCCACTCCTCACATGTCCATTGATTTAGAACAGGGCTATTAGTAAGGCCGTTCACCACAGATTTAAGCCACATCTCCAGCTGCCTCTCTCAGTAATGAAGCTGATAATTCAATTGCCATTTCATAGTCTGTTCAGAATTCAGGAGTAAAAGTCAGTTTTTGAACCGGCTCCTAGAAGACCCAACAATAAGCAGCCCCACTTACAGTAAAGAAGCCACGGTCTTAGTAGGTTAAATAACATGTGTCAGGCCACACAGGAAAGGAGGTAGCAGAGCTGGAATTCAAAACCAAGGCTCCCTTGCTCCAAAACACAGGCTGTTTTCCACTGACCAGGTTGTGCATGATCTCAGCTACTGTCCTTATCATTTATCCACCAGCCTTTTGCATATATACTGCATGGTGGATACTTAGCTGGGGCTAGAAACCCTAAGTCAAACAAGGTATGCCTCTTCCCACCCTTCCCCTCAATGGTTTTACCTAGAAAAACCAGGTGGGTCTGAAGAAAAGTGCTATTTTATCAGAAGCTTCCTTACCAGGCTTCTGTCCTCATTCCAACAGTTTCTAGTAGTTGGCCCTATTCTCCTCTAAAGAACTTGAGTATGCGATGCCCTCTCTTATTTCATTGTCTTTCTCTGAGATGCTCCTGAATCACAGGAAATTTATAAAGAAGAAAGCAGAAGGAGGGGGATGGGGAGGAGGGAGAGGGGGAGGAGAAGGAGGAGAATCCTGGATTTAAAGAATCATCTAGTCATTCTGAACTAAAATCATCAACTCTATGCCCCCCCTCCTCTGGTTTACAATTATATTTGTATTACAGAATGTAGATACAGACATAGAACCTTTTGCTACAGAAAATGAGCATCACATCTTGACGTGGTCTTTAGGTATTTTAGTTTAGATATGAAATACTTATTTTAATTTTTTGTTTATTTAGCTTTACTTTCATTAAATAAAACTATCCTCCCTTAATATAAAAGGGAGAACTTATTTCCTGCTTTAGTGTATATATATATATATATATATATATATATATATATCATAGTAAAGCAATTTAACTGAATGAAGATACTTCTTAGTGTTTCAAGAACTAGGAGGCTCTTTTAATAATGTTGTAAACTCTGTTTTCTTTCTTACAAATGGAAGTATGACTTCAGTATTAAACACAGCTTACCTACTAAGCCAAACTTCTCACATGCTAGTAAGTCAGAACAACAAAAGTCAAAAGAAGTTAACTAAATCTCTCTAGCCTTTGAACCTATATTTTGGGATTTTCAATGTCACATTTA